GTAGCTGGGATTACAGGCATGCACCACTGTGCCCAGCTAATTTTTGTATTTTTTTTTTTTTTTAGTAGATACGAGGTTTCACCATGTTAGCCAGGCTGGCCTCAAACTCCTGATCTCATGATTCACCCCCCCTCGGCCTCTCAAAGTGCTGGGATTACATGTTTGAGCCACCATGCCTGGCCGCTACTATCGTTTTAACGCATCTTTGGCATATTATGTGTGTTTGGCATAAAATTTATTAAAATAACATCTGTGATACACAATAAAACATCAAATTCAGGACATTAAGTAGTAATTCGGACTTCTACCCTTTCATCTTAATTATCAGTTTGTTGAAATAAAATATGGTTTTTCATCAATGATTATTTGGGTAATGACTTATTCATTCACTTAGAAGATTAATGGAGGTATTTCTAAGCTGTATTTAAATTAGTTTAAATCTCAGATCATTTTTGTTGGAAATCTTGATAAAAGATAATTAAAATAGGCTATCGCTTTCAAAGGAATTAAGATCAAGAGGACACTGAAAATAATTTTATCCCTTACCTAGAACATATACTTCTATTTGTCTTATGTTTCCATTTCTTTCCTAATAACCCAGTGTCAGAAGCTTAGCTTATCTGGAGAGAAAGCTGAGCAGCCAGGTGTTAGAGTAGCCATTAAAGCACAACAAGCTAAAAATGAGAGTTAAGCCTTCAATCATTTACTGTGATAGTATAAGCAAGAGAAAGTTTTGACATCCCCGTTCCATTTTCCCCCATGGAATGACCCTCTAGTGGAGAGTCAGGTGGATCAGCACAGATATGGCTATCATAGATGTGGAGGTGCTGGGGTCATCTCATTGACAAGGGAATCCTCAAATGTCTCCTGCAGTTTTACAGACCTGGAGACCAAGAGGAGGATGAGAGGGGCTGGAAGTGAAAAAGTGCTGAGCACAGAGAGCAGAGAAAGGAGGGGTTGGAAAGGTCTCTGCTGAAGGCCTCAGATAAAGAGACCTAGGAATGGAAGCACTTGGTCTAGGAATGCAAACATTGAAGAGCATGACTAGCCAAAGGGGCCAGCATCCTTGACTGCAACTTCCCATAAAGACAGCAATGCATTGTACTCCAAGTCTGGTGTGCCAGGTAAACTCTTTGTGATTGCCTATGGTCATACCTAAAAAAAGTAACACATAGGTTTCTAACTACAAGCCCAACTCTTTGCCCAGGCAGGAGTCTGCAGGGTTAGCTATTTTTAAATCTTTCTAACTTTGTGGAAGGTAATAACTTTTTTTTTCCTCCCCTGAAAATAATTGAAGGAAGAAAGGCTTTTTTTTTTGCTTGTGGTCTAGGTGTAGGGTACATTTTAACAGTGTCTAGTCCCACAGTTTTTTTTTAACCAGCTTAAGCAGTTTGAATGAAAACAATTCCCTGTGGTAGAAAAATCATTGAGGAATATTTTACTTCTAGCATTTTACATGTATTGCTTTTTAAATTATAGGACCATGATATTCTAAGTACTTTAATATTATAGAAGGGTCCATTTTTCTGAGAAATTATATAATGATCTTTTTTTCTTTCCTTTTTTTTTTTTACTTACAGAAAGTTTGAAAATTTCTACATAGGTTGGGGTCATAAGTATAGTCCAGACAATTATACACCCCCAGTTCCACCACCAGTTTATCAAGAATACCCCAGTGGACCAGAAATTACAGAAATGGATGACCCCAGTGTGGAGGAGGAGCAAGCTTTCAGGGCTGCACAAGAAGCAGTTCTACTTGCAGCTGAGAATGAAGAATCTGAGGAAGATGAAGATGAGGAAGATGATTATGACTAATAAACATAAAATTAGCCTGGTTTTATGTGACACTGATACACACATACCCCTTATATGAGACTAATTTTACACTTTTCTGTGTGTGTATATACATACACATGTCAGAAATTATTCAACTGCAAAAGTCAATCTTGAAAATATCAAGCTTGAAATTTCATATGTAGAAATACTAACATTTTTACTGAAAGATACTCATGGGATTTTCCAGAGGCTAAATAACATGCAATCACATCATTGTTCTGAGGGTTATGGATAATGGAATATGTGCTTGTACATTTTTGTTTTTAAAAGGGCTTAGGTTTCACATGGTCCAGGTGAGGTAAAACAATTAAAATAAATAAATAAATGGTCTCAGGTTTAATTTGTAATATGACAAACACTGGAAGATACAACCCACAGGAAATTCTTGGAAACATCAATACTTTTTTAAAGAGTGTCAAGGGGTATGAAAACAAAAAATATTGTCACTAAAGTAATGTATTGTTAACCTTTGTTAAGAACTGATCTCAGCATGTATTCTTAAACCTTTGTAATTACCTATGGTCGTGACTGTGATATTGTGTGCAAACACTATATAGCATATATATTCATTTTTCCTGCTTGAGATAGTATCATAATTCCATCACCTGCTTAAAACTGTAGGGAACACTGAATTATTTTATTTTTATTTTTTTGGTGGGGAGGTGGTTGGGACAGAGTCTCTGTCGCCAGGCTAGAGTGCAGTAGTGCAATCTCGGCTCACTGCCACCTCTGCCTCCTGGGTTCAAGTGTTTCTCCTGCCTCAGCCTCCCGAGAAGCTGGGACTACAGGTGCGCGCCACTACGCCTGGCTTTATTTGTATTTTTCGTAGAGATGGGGTTTCACCATGTTAGCCAGGCTGGTAAATTTTTAACCCTTTTGTTACTTCTCAAAGTCTTCTCAGACTCCTCTTTCATCCTACAGAAACTGATTTGAACTGATTGGGGAAAAATGATTTGCTTTGCACAGATATGGTTAGCTGGATACAGCCAGAGACTTGACTTATATTTTCTAGCACTACTTCTCTAAAACATTATTTTCCCTCACTAAAAAAACATTTTTAAGTCCTATATGTACCAGATATACCTGTGGCTATGACTAAAAATTAGGCACTACTCTTGAAATCATAGAGCTTTCACTGAAGAGAGAACTATAAAAAGGTAAATAGAAATGTAAAATCAATTGCAATTTAGCAAGTGTTATGATACAAATATTACAGGTAACACAGAACAGTGCTTCTCAAATTCTATGATAAAGGAATTTTGGTAAGTTAAAAAAAAAATTCCAATTCATTACTGTTGTTTTTTAAAAATAAAATGACACAGCAGTTCTCAACATCTGTACTTACCTTGCCACAGACCTTCAGTTTGCAGATCACAGATCTGCACTTGGAGTAACATTGTTGTCAAACACTTAAGATGACTGACTTCAGACTTCAGCAAGTCAGGAAGCACTTCTAAGAGCCACCAGGTGGAGTGCTATGGGAGAAGGTTCTTGGTGGCATCAGCTGCATCCTGCCAAAGGACTTTTGGCTGAAAGGAATGAAATTTCAACTGCAAGAAGTGGTGAGAGATGAGCCTGCAGGGGCAAAGCAGGGCTATAGTGTGTAGGAAGTCTGGATTTTACCCATGAACAGTGAAGAGGATTACACTAGAAAGTCACACAAACATTTGTATTTGAGAACATTTTGCTACAGTGTAGATGGGTGAGAGAGAATCCAGACTTGAGACAAGAAGACCAGTTAGGAGGTTATCACATTATCAGGTAACACAGTGGCTCAACCTGTAATCCCAGCACTTTGGGAGGCCAAGGCAGGTGGATCACCTAAGGTCAGGAGTTTGAGACCAGCCTGGCCAACATGGCGAAACCTCATCTCTACTAAAAATACAAACATAATACAAACATTAGTTGGGTATCATAGCATATGCCTGTAATCCCAGCTACTTGTGAGGCTGAGGCAGGAGAATCGCTTGAACCCAGGAAGTGGAGGCTGCAGTGAGCCAAGATCGCACCATTGGCACTCCAGCCTGGGCAACAGAATGAGACTCCATCTCAAGAAAACAAACAAACAAACAAAAAAACCCAGGATAACTGCAAGGGGATATAAAGTAGAAAACTGCGCCTGGGGGACTGAGATGGGAGGATCGCTTGAGCCCAGGAGGTCAAGTGAGCTATGATCGTGCCACTGCACTCCAGCCTGGGTGACAGAGCAAGACCATGTCTCAAAAAATTAAAAAAAAAAAAAAAAGAAAGAAAACTGGTTACCAGTCTGAAGGACAGAACATCAGGAAAGATGGTTTCCAAAATTAAATTGGCAATACTATTTCATTCTTGAAGTGCAACTTTCAATCTTTGTTGGCATACCTAAAATTCACAAGACTTCATTCATGTTGGTTGTTATTCATTTTCACGACATAGTAGACATGTTCTTTTTTGTTGCTTAATATCCATTTCCTTATCTACCCTGATTTCCTTTTGAGGAACTGCCTCTGTCCCATTAGATAGCCTCATGCCAATCAGATGTAGCCTCTCTGGGATCTAAATTATGGGCTCCTAACCAGATTGTTCCTTCTATAAATTAGACCATATTCTAGTTTCCAATGTTGGTTTGGTTCCAGCTAAGTTCTACCCATGGACTGTGAGCTTCTGGTAATTTTTTGATGAATTACATTGGCCAGGATTCTTGGTTGCAACCACACATGGCATATCCAACAAGAAGTGGAAAGTTTCTTTTCTACAGAACACATTAAACACAAGACTCTAAATCACAGTTGTATAGTTAAACAATAAAGGCAAATCCTTGTTTATAGAACTATGCCTGCTAAATATTATTTCTAAGCAGTGAGGAAGACATTTTATTATATATGTTCTCTAATGGAAGACAGCCAAATAGTTTAATGGTAAGAGTTTGCTTGGAAGTGAGATAGCCTAGGTTCATACCCTGGATCAAGATTATTTTCTTGGGCATATTACTAACCTCTCAGGGCTTTAGCTTGCTTCTTCATGGGGTTAATAATAGTACTTGTCTCACAGAACTATTCTGAAGATTAAACTAAGTAATATATGTAACATACTAAGAGTACTTAACAGAAGTAAGGACCCAATGCATATTAGCTTACAGCTATAAAATAAAACTGGTTTCTGAAACATAGATAAGAAAAACAAAATCCACAATGCAAAAACAAGACATTTTATTGAAATACTTACCAAACAATGAAGTATGATAGGTATAACTTAATTAACACAGGCATTTTAGAAATTAAATTATGTTAAGACTTAGAGAATTCACAGATTCATAATTGTGTTAAGGAGTTCAATATCTACATTTAGAAAACAAAGCATTGTTCTCAAGTACTGAAATGCTTGATTCTTCAAGGAATCTTCTCGGCTGTAAAGACTTGAGAATCTTGTCTCCTGGCCTTGAAAAGAAATTTTAAAAAACAATTTTAAGCTATAAGTCAATTAATTAGAATATGTGTTGTCATTCTAACATAAAAAATAAAATCTGGATTTTTTTTTCAAGATAATAATGAAAATTCCTAAAGAAAAACTGTATTCTCAAACTTATAAAGTTAGGAATAAACATTTTTCCAGTCAAGACATAAACAAAGAAAATTCCTATCGAGATAAAGACAAAACAGTATGAAATAGAAAATGTCACTTTTTTATGGAATAATGAGTCAAAAGTAAAATGCTGGCTCAAAGTCAGAGAGAGATGAACAAAAACAGAGGAGGCTAGAGGAAGACAGGGCTGTGCAGAGAGAAACTTTATAAACATTATGCATATCCCTCATTATAGTCTTAAAAACGTCACTTCAAAAAAATTTTCAATGTTTGTGCTATTTTCAAAACCTGAGTTCCAAATCAAGACATGTCAAACCAAGCTAAATTAAAACTAAGTTAAATCAAGCTGAGAATACAAGAATGACACAATGGAAAATTAAGAATATAGTGGGGTAACTTTAAAACTGCATATCGGCCGGGCGCGGTGGCTTACGCCTGTAATCCCAGCACTTTGGGAGGCCGAGGCGGGCGGATCACGAGGTCAGGAGATTGAGACCATCCTGGCTAATACGGTGAAACCCCGTCTCTACTAAAAACGCAAAAAATTAGCCAGGCGTGGCGGCGGTCCCAGCTATTGGGAGGCTGAGGCAGGAGAATGGCGTGAACCCGGGAGGCGGAGCTTGCAGTGAGCCGAGATCGAGCCACTGCACTCCAGCCTGGGTGACTGAGCCAGACTCCGTCTCAAAAAAATAAAAATAAAAAATAAAAATAAAAATAAAACTGCATATCATAATGTGAAAAAGAATTAAGGAACATGGCTATTGCATAAATTTGTATTTACTATTTAACTGAACTGCATTAGGTGATATAGTCTAAAATAAATCCCTTCACCTAAACAAGTGCTCCAACATCTAGAACAGGGTTTAAAATTAGTAGACACTCAAAACATATCTATGGTAGAAATGTCTTATGGTAATTATAAGACAGTGGCCAAGATAAAAAAAAATTTTTGAAAACCAATCACTCTTTTTCTATAATAGTTGAATGATTATTAAAAGATCAGAACTCATCATAAGTACAAATATGAAGAACAAAACATAAAATGCAGTTATAAATATATTTTGGGATACCATAAACTATCAAAATTGTTTTTAATCCTATAATTTAAAAAATTGTAGTTATTGCTTTGAAGAAATAGACTTTTAAAAAATTAGTTATAAAAGCTAATATGAAATAAAAGTAAAATTACTATTCTGCCCTAATTTAGATAAAGCTGCAGACTTCCACCTGATGATCTGCAAAACACTTGGCACATTAATATTGGCTGAATTCCTACAGTATAAAGTACTGTTAAAAAGGACAGAATCACTGTAAGAAACAGATGCTAAAAAAAATAAGTTATATTAAACTAGTAAGATTAAATTTTTTTCATTTTTCAAAATGTAATATCTTTTCAAGAAGAAATGTGAAACTGTTCATACAAAAGCTCAGCAAACATGACTATGAGGTTTTGTATCCTTACAAAAAAGGCAATATAGGGCAGGGCTCCAGATGCAAACTGCCTAAATTGGAATCCTGACTCTCTATTTAGCAGTTGTGCTACCTTAGGAATACAATTTCTCTCTGCCTCAGCATCCTCTTTTATAAAATGGAGATTAATAATGGTGTCTACTTTATAGGGCTGTTGTGTGGATTAAATTAGTTAACATATGTAATGTGCTTAGGATAGTCCATAGTACAGAATAAGCATTAGACAAGTGTTATTTCAATCTATTATAATTAAAATCTTATTATATTTATTATTGTTATTCCTTTTCTATCTGGCAGTGTTACACATTGTTAGCCAAGTTACGATTCTTACAGTTAAAGCACAGCTACTGTTCATGACTCAGAAAACTAGAACATCAAATATACAGTGCAGAGAGCACATTTTTAGTATTCTAACACCATAAACAGCTCCATTTCCAAGACCAGAAAGATAACAGCTAACTAAAATGTTCAGCAAGACTCCATAGTAATATTTAACCACACCTATGCTCTCGAATGTGTATGCTGGTGAGCAAGTGTCTTGGTATTTTAAAATAATTGAAACAAACCTCTAACTTTATCTGGACAAATTAATGATAGGGTTAAAAAAATTAATGTGGCTGGGCATGGTGGCTCACGCCTGTAATCCCAGCATTTTGGGAGGCCGAGGCAGGTGGATCACCAGAAGTTGGGAGTTTAAGATCAGCCTGGCTAACATGGTGAAACCCCATCTCTACTAAATATACAAAATTAGCTGGGCGTGGTGGTGCATGCCTGTAATCCCAGCTACTCGGGAGGCTGAGGCAGGAGAATCACTTGAATCGGGGAGGGAGGCAGAGGCTGCAGTGGGCTGGGATCAAGCCATTGCACTCCAGCCTGGGTTAAGATAAAGTGAGTGTTGGTCTCCAAAAAAAAAAAAAAAAATTAATGTATGAAATGTTCTCAATGTGTACATTGGTGAGTAAGCATCTTGGTATTTTAAAATAATTAAAACAAAACTTTAACTTTCTCTGGACAATTTAATGATAGGGTTAAAAAAAATGAATGCAATTTTTATACTTAAATCATTACAAAGAAATCTTTTAATGTATCATAAGTAACTTAAAGAACCTCTTAAACAATCCTTGCCTTTACATCCCATGTTACGAGGCTGAAAAGATTACTCTAGCTCCATTATTTCAAAAACTTATAGTCCTTTCCCCCATGATCCCATTATTCTCCATAACTGTTTGTCTCTAGTCTTCAGTGTCTTTTCTCTTTAGAGGGAAATAAATCAATGTGAAGTATTCTGGAGCTTTTTTTCTTAATTTAGGGTTTACACATTTTCTAGACTTGATGTGCTATCATATCAAGTGGAAAATTTTCAATTCCTAGGAATTTTTCTATAATATTATGTCCCTCCCTGACAGTGTAGTGGCTAGGATTCAATTCCTAGAAATTTTTCTGTAATATTGTGCGCATCACTTAACTGCAAGGAATAAAGACAAGAGGAAATTCTAATGAAGTTAAATTCTAGAAATGTGAATATCCAATAAGCCCAAGTGCATAAAATAGAGCCTTAGGAATCACAAGAATCATATATTAATAAACCATAATTATAAGACCAATAAGAGTTAGGTTTCCTTGGATTAAGTTAGATTTTCTTATATATGTTTCTATTATTCATTGCTCACCTGACATTAAATACTTTTATGAAGCTCTAAGTATAGAAAGTCATTAAAGTACCATTTCAAATATAAATATGTTCATTCCAGAAAACTAAAAACATATAAAACCAAATGTCTTTTCAAACTTAATGAAACAGAGTAAGGTACTAAGGAATACAAAGTGGGCTAGGCTCAGTGGCTCACGCCTGTAATCCCAACACTTTGGGAGGCTGAGGTGGGCAGATCGTTTGAGCCTAGGGGTTTGAGACCAGCCTGGGGACCATGGTGAAACCTCGTCTCTACAAAAAATATAAAAATTAGCCAGGTGTGGTGGCATGTGCCTGTAGTCCCAGCTACTAGGGAGGCTGAAGCAGGAGGATCAGTTGAGCCTAGGAGGTCAAGGCTGCAGTGAGTCATGACCACATGCCACTGAACTCAGGCCTGGTCAACAGAGTGAGACCCTGTCTCCAAAAAAAAAAAAAGAGGGAAAAAGAAAGAAAAAAAAAAAAGAAAAAAGTGATAACATTGATTTTAAACTAAAAGTTTTAAACTTTTAAGTTCATCTCATTCAAACTTCACATATAAATATTTAGATACTTACAACTTTCTCCTCTGGAGAAAGAGCACCCTCTACTGCCACTATCTGGTATTGCTTATGTTTTAAATTTCCCATAGATTTTCGAAGTTGCTTGAGACTGCTAGCCTCTACGTCTTGCTTTAACAATTTCTGCATTTCTCGAGAAGGACATCCAGGATCAAATATTAGTAAGCATAATGTTCGGTTTTTTTTCTCTTCAATTCCAATAACAGTTCGACTGTGACCTATCAAAAGATTTTTTTGTTATACATATGTCACATCTACTTACAGTTATACAAATAGTCTCTGTATATATGCTGTGTGAGCATATGTGTGTTTAGAATATATAGTCGGACTCTCTGACCCATATGTATCTGAGTTCTCCTAAGACATAAGAGTTTAGTTCTACTTCAGTTTTTTCATTTAACTTTAGTTTTCTAAAGGCTTCATTACAAAAAAAAACTCTGCTTTTATTCTGCCAAATATTTTACTTTTCCTTTCCCAATCCCTTGATCCTTCTTATTCAAATTATCTCAAATGAAAGAACAAAAACTGTTCTAGAACAAAATTCTCATGATTCCAAAAGGTAAACAAAAGTAAATCTATAAATGCTAGAAATCAGTGGAGGAAGCTTAACCTCTTATAGTTTGTATCCCTAAACAATGAAATTCCTAATATTTACTTCTGTTTATTCCTGTCAATCCAAACCATCATTCATAATTTACCAAGTATCTATGTGCGGAGTACTATTCCAAGCACAAAGGTATATAACAGCAGACAAAACAGACAAATGTGCCTGCCTTCTTGGAACTTATATCCTAATAGGAAGAGATACTCTAGAAACGATGTAAATAAATGAAGAAAATGCCAGTGGTGGGATGTTGGGATGAGTTGTACTTTTTTTTTTTTTTTTTTTGAGACGGAGTCTCGCTCTGTCGCCCAGGCTGGAGTGCAGTGGCTGGATCTCAGCTCACTGCAAGCTCCGCCTCCCGGGTTTACGCCATTCTCCTGCCTCAGCCTCCCGAGTAGCTGGGACTACAGGCGCCCGCCACCTCGCCCGGCTAGTTTTTTGTATTTCTTAATAGAGACGGGGTTTCACCGTGTTAGCCAGGATGGTCTCGATCTCCTGACCTCGTGATCCGCCCATCTCGGCCTCCCAAAGTGCTGGGATTACAGGCTTGAGCCACCGCGCCCGGCCTCGAGTTGTACTTTTTTTTGAGACAGCGGAGTGCAGTGGCAGAATCATGGCTCACTATAGCCCCCAACTCCAGGGCTCAACTGACCTTCCCACCTCAGCCTCCTGAGTAGCTAGGACTATAGGCATGTGCTGATTTTCTTACGTTTTTGTAGACACAGGGTCTCACTATGTCAACTCAGGTTGGTCTCAAACTGCTGGGCTCAAGCAATCCTCCTGCTTCGGCCTCTGAAAGTGCTACGATTACAGGCATGAGTGACCATGCCTGGCCTTGAGTTCCACTTTTAAGTAAGGTAAGGCAAGGTCAGGGAAGGCCTCACTTAAGTGACATGTGGGTAAAGACCCAAGAAGATAAGGGATGAACAATGAAGGACAAGTGAACCAAAAACAGAAAACAACAAGTGCAAAAGGTCCTGAAGATGTCAGGAATATCAACCTTCATTACCCAACAAAGTACTGTAGAAATATCAATCTTAATTTCCTAAGACAGTATTGTACTGTCAAAGGAGCTCTGAAAAATTAGACAGATTAATGTCATAATACTCTCTGCTATTATCAGACCAGCCTGGCCAACATGGTGAAACCCCGTTTCTACTAAAAATACAAATATTAGCCAGGTATGATGGCAGGCGCCTGTAATCCCCGCTACTCAGGAGGCTGAGGAGAATCACTTGAACCTGGAAGGTGGAAGTTGCAGCGAGCCAAGAATGTGCCATTGCACTCCAGCCTGAGCAACAGAGCGAAATTCTCTCTAAAAAAACAAACAAACAGAAACCTTAACCTGTCTAAAAGCAACAATTTGTTATCTTACAAATAACATTGTCAAGTATGAGTTATATTAATACTAACCTTGATGCTGAAGATAGATAGGAGGTTTAGATGTACACACTACCTTTGGACTCCCTTCCCCCTCTGAAGAATAATAGTTCAATATCCATTCAAATAAGCGAGGGTGTGTACCCAAAGGACCAGTTGACTTATGAAAATCAACAATATGACACCTATTAAAAATTGACAAAATGCATATTTAAAGGGCATTTTAAAATATTTTCATTGATGGAGTTATCAAATACAACAAATTCTTAGTTTAGAACTAACTTTTTCTAGCCATTACTTCCCTGTAAAAGAAGAAAGAAAAGTAAATACAAATTTTTATTATTTCTCTCAAAAACTCCTTTTTGTGGGGGATAACTATTTAACAATTCTCCCTGTTTAACTATTCCTCTAACTAGCTACCTATTTAAAGAACTTCATATTAAGTCTGCTGACTAACCTAAAGGTTACAAACATTTTCTGATAAATAAAATCTCCATGAATAGTAAATAATGACCATACTTGATTTTTAAAAAGTCATCTACACATAATTTTTTCACAGTATTTATTCTAGTTTCTAACCCTGATGATCAGTTAGAAGCTGATTTCTGATTTTAATTCATTAGCCATTTGTATATATCAAATAGACCCAAAATACTTCAAATCTCTGTAACAGAAAATAATTGCAAAGATCATAAAAAATGTGTGTGTACCCACATCTATACATGTATCTCCTATTTTCCACCAGACCACTGCGGTATTCTTCCTTCAAGAGTAAGTCACCCTTGAATAAACAATTTTTTAACCAGAAACACTGGTTATACTACTCAACGACTGTTTTTGAAAGGTCAGGTACAACTAAAAAGCATTTGACAGCTTTATCATCACTTTAAACTACAGCACAGATATCCTGTCGTTGTTTCTCTTGGCAATAAAATCTCTAAAACATTCAAATTGCTAACCTCAGCCTCAGCAAATTTAATGCTGGTTACTGGGTTTTAAGTGCTCAAATAAACTTCTGGATAAACTGTTTATAAGTAAAAAGAATGTTTTGGGGTTAGCAGTTTGCATATTTACATTTAGAATACTAATTAAACAGTACCCTACAGAGTATAATTCATATAGAGAGCAACAAAAAGACATGTAAATAACTGTTAAACATATTCACAATATATTAATAAAAAAGCTTTCTAAATTATTTAAGGTACCAAGAAAGAAGCTGGACAAAAATTACAGCTGGGTGCAGTGGCTCATGCCTGTGATCCCAGTACTTTAAGAAGCCAAGGCAGGTGGATTGCTTGAGCCTAGGAGTTCAAGACCAGCCTGGACAACATGGTGAAACCCCGTCTCTACTAAAAATAAAAATAAATAAATAAATAAATTAGTCAGGTGTGGTGGCACATGCCTGTAATCCCAGCTACTCAGGAGGCAGAAGCACAAGAATCACTTAAGCCTGGGAGGCAGGGGTTGAAGGGAGCCAAGATTGCGCCACTGCACTCCAGTCTGGGTGACAAACTGGAGACAGACTCTGTCTCAAAAAAAAAAAAAAAAAAAAAAGAAAAAAGAAAAAGAAAAAGAATTACTTTAAAACTCAAAACATCAAAACATGACAGAGTATATATAATCTGAAAGTGTGAACAGATTGGCAAAAAGAAAAAGGAGGAAAGCAGAAATAAATTTAGAGGGCATTAAAATAGTTCTTTAAATTTAAATAATTCAAGAAAGTTATTATATATACACACAATATTAGTTTTTCTATATAAACGAAAGAAATATTTTTACCTCTGAATCTAATCAATTAATGTGGTAAAAAGAATGTGATACACTGGTTAAATAACTTAGAAACAAACATAAAAGAAAATATAAAGCCATAAAGCTTAAGGCAAATGTTCCATTAAACATGATCACAGACATCTATCTCTATTTCCTCTTAAAAGCCCGATGACACAATACTGAAGGAGAAAATGATTTAAACATCCAAGGACAAAGAGAATGGGAATAGAGAGGAAAAAAGCTCACATCTTCAGAAAATGAAAAGCAGCACAGAGAACATATCCAAGTAAATAAAAGAAAATGGGCCAGGCACGGTGGCTCAAGCCTGTAATCCCAGCACTTTGGGAGGCCGAGACGGGCGGATCACGAGGTCAGGAGATCGAGACCATCCTGGCTAACACAGTGAAACCCCATCTCTACTAAAAAATACAAAAAACTAGCCGGGTGAGGTGGCGGGCGCCTGTAGTTCCAGCTACCTCGGGAGGCTGAGGCAGGAGAATGGCGTAAATCCGGGAGGCGGAGCTTGCAGTGAGCTGAGATCTGGCCACTGCACCCCAGCCTGGGCGACAGAGCCAGACTCCGTCTCAAAAAAAAAAAAAAGAAAAGAAAATGGAGACTGTATGTTTCAAAATCAGAGAGAGGCTGAAAGCTTAGAAGCACAAGGTTTGAGAACAGTGAGGCTAAAAATATGAGATTAATTGAAAGTTTGCTTCAAAGGCAAATCACACCTTAACTCTCCCCTCCACTAATGCAGGAACTCTAGGGAGGAAAGTGAAAAACTCTTCTCTGGATAACTTCTGGGAAAAGATCTCTCTATATAATGATCTTTGAGAGTACCCCAATCAAATAGTAACCTTCCACCTAAGACTTTTAAATGAAATCTGCTAATCTGCAAGCTCTATGCAGTCCTTTTTAATGTTTCATTAAATCAGCTTTTTAATGTTTCATTCTTCACTCTCTGAATGGACAACTAAGGATTTCCAAAAGTTAAAAGAAAGCTTTCAAAATAGAAAAGACTAAAGTAACAGACATGAAAATAAATTAATATGGAACAAACAAAATGCAGGCAATAGAAAGAAAACATTGGAAGAAATTTTGCAACCATAAAGAAAATGATGCTGTGAAATTACCCCTTAACATAATGGTGAAAATAAAAATTTCAATACAGTAATTGGGAGATAAATTTGAGTAAATCTAGAAAATAAAACAAAAGGCAAAGATTTTAAAGAAAAAGACATGATAAACTTAGAAGGTAAAGAAGTTCAGGCCGGGAGCGGTGGCTGAAGCCTGTAATCCTAGCACTTTGGGAGGCCGAGGCGGATGGATCACCTGAGGTCAGGAGTTCAAGACCAGTCTGGCCAACATGGTGAAACCTCGTCTCCACTAAAAATACAAAAATTAGCCAGGCATGGTGGCAGGAACCTGTAATCCCAGCTACTCAGGAGGCTGAGGCAGGAGAATCACTTGAACCCAGGAGGCGGAGGTTGCAGTGAGCCAAGATCGCGCCACTGCACTCTAGCCTGGGCAACACAGCAAAAACTCCATCTCAAATAAATTTAAAAAAAAAGAGAAGTTCAGTGGCCATCTATCAACGGTTCCACAAAGAAAACGGAGGGATTATAACTATCAAACAACAATAGTTAACCTCTGAAGTCACGCTGTGTGCCAGTCACAGTTCTAAGCACTTTATTATTCCATTTAATTGTCTAACTACTATTAATACCTTCTTTTATCAATGGTAGACCTAGGTACAGATGAGCTCATTCATTCAGCTATTAAGTAGGAAAGGTATGAATCAAGGTTAGGCAGTCTCACTCCAAAGTTCAAGCTGTTACCTACTATCCTAGATGGAACTAAGATCTTAGACAACTCACAATTCCAGATTCAAAGAGAAAAACAAATGCCTAACACAATGAATCAAAGCCCTACACCCCACAATGAAATTTCATAATATCATGAAATTATGACGGGCTAAGAGAAGACTGGAAAAACTTCCATAGAAAATAAATAGGTTATACATTTTAAAAATGAGAATCTGATCACATCTTACCATCCTCAATAGTAATATTCATCGCTAGACATCAGAAGAATAGAAACTTAATTTGATGTGAAAATGATTGTAGAATTAAGAATAATATAGCCATCCAAACTATCATTTAAGTAATAATGACTAGGCACCCTTTCTCAGGAAACTAATGAAGGAAGTGCTCGAGCAAAAGGAAGTAACCTAAAAAAGAGACATGAAATCCAAGACAAATCCAGGTCCTAACACACACACACACACACAGAGTGAACAAATGCTACATGATAATAGCTGTAGATCTAGAAGGCAAAAAGTCCAGATTGGAGCAAAGAGGACAGAAGGCTCCAAGAAGGATGTGTCCAAGAATAAGGAGAGCCTCAGATTACATGACAGGTGGGGTGCAAAAACTTGAGGCCATGATGTCGTCACATATTATAGTAAAAGAGAAAAGGAAACACAATTATTAACTCAAGAAAGAATTATAAATGATTTTAGAAAACAAAATCAGCAATAAGCAATATTTATGCAATTGTGTAATAAAATCTGACTTTATAAAATGATGTAAACTCTGATTTTAATAAAAACTGAGGTTTAATCATATTAGAAGGATTGAAGGTAAACAAGTATAAGATATTAAAACAGACAATACTTAAAACTCATAAACCAAGAAACAGCTATGAAAGCATACTATTTAAAAACAATGGAAGTGACAGTTGCCTCTGAGAGACAGGACTTGAGGGTAGAGGAGAGCACAAGATAGTGAATAGGTTACTGATTTTCAATACTACTTAATTCAGTGCTACTTAATTTTATTTTTAAACTATCTCTTTGATAAAAAAATAAAATTTTAAAAAACAAAGCTCCCAGATAAGGAAATAACATTTATTTAGGTTTTAAGGTACATACTTTACCCTTAGGGAGGTCAAGAGTATATATACTTCACATGCTCCAATCCAGGCCTTTGTTCCCTGTAACCTGTTATTAAGTTGAGAGGCCCCCTGAGGATCAAAACCTTCCTTCCATGCATCTTCAATCATAGATTGAATTTTTGGAATGCAAGGAACCGACATACCTAAAATTACACAAGCAAACATATTACATGACTGTTAATAAAGTACTGAATAATATCATTTAGCAGTGCATCATGTACTAGGGGAACTTTACAGTTTTTAAGACAGTTATTCCTGACGTCTTCTACCATTTTCTCTTCTTCTAACCAGAATTCAGGTTTCTTATATAAATATCTGCTAATTGTTAAAGCTATTAATTATGTATGCTATATCATTCTATATCATATGTATTTTATCAGATGACAAGTTCAGAGTACTAGATTTCACATACCTTTTAAGCAATCATCATAAGCATCATTTTGTAATAATGATGAAAGTAGCATTTGGAAGTTTCTGTAACCACAACCCCAACCTTTGTCACCTAAAGATGAATGAAAGTGATCCACCACTGAAGAAAGCCACACCTGCCTCACATCTGTGGCAGCATTCTGATAATACCTATGAAGTGCTTCAATAATTCCTAAAGTAGAAAAGAGATTTAGAAGCAGTCATTATCACTTTTATATGACTATGTCATACATTTTTAGTATCAACCTCTCCTTCACACTCCATATCTAAATCCTGTCAATTCCATCTTCTTCACCTTCTTATTGCTATAACCTTAGTTTGTGCCCTTGCTTGTTACTATAGTCCAAGTTTCCTCACACTAGCATATTATTTATTACAGTTCATTGAAATTTTCTGCATCTGCAGGGCCCAGCACATAAAGTACAACTGTTGAATGAATGTTCTTCTTGTCTCTCCATTTTATTGTATAGACTACAGGAGATCATTCAGTCTTAATCAATTTGCTCCCGATCAAAAAATATTAATAGCTTTCTATTACTAACAGTTTTAATTTTTTTGTAATTTAAGATTTTATTTTGCAGATTATTCTGTAATTTTCGAAGCATGAGATAACACAAATGTTTTCATTTAAAAACTCAACTTCATGAATAATAAACATATCCCATACTCCAATACACTAAATTTCAACCCTTTAGTAACATTCCATTTTGCTATTTGGGGAGATGAATTAATTTGTTTGAGACAACAGAAGACAACTTTTCTTCAGGCAGAACAATAGGCTTAGGAATCTTATTAACAGCCTTATAAACCTAATTAGAATAGTTCTAATCTATGTTATATGAAGTCCACAGAAAGCTATCTATCGACTTACCTTTATTTCACATTACTCTTCTTGCTTTAAATTTGGCTGTGGCCTAACTAAACACATTAAACATAATTTGGCCCATGGAGTTTTAATTCAATTTAATTTTTTAAACTATAATTTTCAAATTCAGCATTTGCTAAGTACTTTTTATACACCTGGCACTATCGAAGTGCTAAGTACAAAAAGATAAATATGATAATATCCTTTAAAATGTCATGGACCCCAACTATAACAAGTGCTATAATATGGAAAAACAAGGTGTTAGGACAATGGACATCTGACTTTGTTCCTTTCCTGCTTTTAGTATACTCTCCTTATGTTTCAAAATTATAGATCCTTCACATGCTACTGTCTTCATAGACTCTTTTTCTGATTCTAACCTTGCTTTTGTGTCCCCAAGGTACTAGCCACATTCAGTCACAGAATACTATAGTTCTCTGTGTATATTTACATGCTCTACAGACTCTGTGAAGCCTATATGGGTAGGGAGATCTTATTTATATTCCCCATAACTTTCTCATAGCTTGTGGCACCAAAGACAATAACTAAATCTTTTTTGCTTGAATGGTTTCCTATAAGAAAATGGGTTTCTATCTTTAAGAAAGACAATAAAAGATCAATAAATAAAAACAATTAAATGAACCAATAGTTGTAGCTGTGCCTTGCACCATGAAAAGGAGAAATACTGATCACTATAACCACTTCCAAAGAACTTAGAAAGACTTGAATTCAAGAAAAACAACAATTAAAATACTATATAACTGAGTACTAAATGTTGTAGCATGGAATGAATGGGTACCCTAGGAATTCAGAAAAAGAAAGCTAAATGTAGATTTTAATATATAGACTTTGATTAAGAGATCAAGATTTGAGACAGCCCTTTAAGAATGAGGTGGGGTGGCAGACAGAAAAAATAGAAAGAAAAGTAATAAACATTCTAGTATATTTAAGTATATATGTTACATATCAGATGGAGTGCCACACTGTCTTAGCAACATCATACAACTGCTTTAGGGGGAAATTTCCTTATACTTTTTATTCCTTAGCACCTAAATCTCTTTAGACATTTTCCACAGTAAACTTATCTTCAGTTATATTCTGTTGTTAAAATTATAATGAGATTGCAGTATAATAGTGAAGGCTCTTTAAATGATAGCTGCTTAATTAACACTTGCATAATTAATGAAAAATAAAAATCTCTGACAGTAAATCACTTCTATATTATAGGGCAGTGTGCTTTTCTACAGATATGTTTTCTTCCTGTACCCTAATGAATCATATCACACATCTGGAGGATGTTCTATGCCACAGTGAGAACTTTTTTACGTGGAGACCCCTGAAAAAATATAAAGGCAGCCTTTAGAAACAGACTCATGGATACATGAAAATCCATAATATACAGTATTACAAATAGGTGGAGAAAATATAGATTCAATAAATGGTAGTGAAATAAATAAGAATAATACATACTTGCTATAAGGACTGTTATAAATAAGGAGAAAATAATCAGATTCCTATCTTCTTTCTCCTCCCTCCAACATATACATACAAATAAATTCTGGGAGGATTAAAAATCAAAATGTGAAATGCAAAATAGAAATATTTGAAGAAAACGTAAAAGTATATATTTGTGATCTTAAAGATGGGGGAGTTACTTAAGACACAAATAATAAATAGAAAGATTGAGAACTTTGATTATATTCAAATTCAAAACTTCTGTCTAATTAAAGGCACTATATATAACATTTAAACACAAACCATAGGCCTGAAAAAGATATTTGCATCTCATATAACTAATGAAAGAATAGTGTTCTGAATACTTAATGAACTACTATAAATCAGTAAGAACAAACTACCCAATAGAGAACAGAGAAAGGAAGAGAATAGGTAATTCATTCAAGAGGAAACTAACTCAGGAGTAATCCAGGAAATGCAAATTAAAACATGTATCATCTCATAACCTGTTAAATAGCAAAAATTTAAAAGTGTCACCATACAGTGTGTGAAATACACTGGTGTGAGTGTAGATTACAAGCACTTTGGAAAACAATTCTCCAATAACCTTAACAAAGTTGAAGATTTGCATGCCCTTTAACTTAGCATTCCAGTTCTGGATGCAATACTAGAGAAACTCCTGGAGGAGACATGCTAATAAATTATAAGAGTAGAAAACTGGAAACAATCTAAATGTTCATCAATATGAAAACAAGGTAAATGAGCTATAATTCATACAAGGAAATACTATACAGCAGCTAAAATGAATGAAGTAGAACTGTAAGAACCAACATACTTGAGCAAAACAATTTATAGCATACATGTTGTATCCCATTTATATATAAACACATGCAAAATATTTTATGCAAGTGTACATACACGGTAAGAGTACTAAAGCATGTATGAGACTGATAAATATCAAACTCTGGATAATAGTTCCCTTGTGGGGAGGGCAAATTAGAATCAGTAAAAGGGTACATAAAGGGCTTTGAATACCTATGAAAGGTGTTGAAGCTTTAAAAACTTTTAAGTAAATATGGCAAAACACTAAGATTCAAAAAATCTGGGTGGCAGTAACAAAGTTTGTTTCCATAAAAAGTCTGTTTATATATTAATATATACAAAGAAAAAAATTTTAATACTTGTCAGAAAAAAGCCGTATTATGGGGCAAGGAAGATATGATTAGGAATAACCAGCTGTGTAACCTTGCTTTGCCAAAGTCACCGTAACTTCTCTAAGCAAGTGACCTTATTTGGAATATGTAACAGTACAGGAGAGGATGTTTGAGTTAAAGGATACAATGTATATAGAGCTGTCAGTGTCTAAAAATGTACAAACAATAAAACAGCCACCAGCCATTTGTGACTATGGAGAATTTGAAATGTGGCTGCCAAATTGAGTTGTGCTGTAAAGTAGAAAATACACAATGGATTTTGAAGAATGTACAAAGAATGTAAAATGTCTCAGTAATAGTTTTAATATTGATTACATTTTGAAATAATAATGTAATGGATACACTGGTTTAAACTATTACAATTAACTTCACCTGTTCCTTTTCACTTTTGTTAATGTGGATCCAGGAAATTTAAAATTATATATGTGGCTCACATTATATTTTTCTTAGCACTGTCTAGAGCAGTTTTTTAAATGTCAAGTAACACAATATAAAAGTAAATTTTTAAGTGAATTATTTACCGTAAAAATAATTCAGAGGTTTTAAAATGACACATTTTAAAAAAAATAATGTGCACAGATGGATTATGAAAATTAGGCAAAATTAAAATGATTCTCATTATTAGTTCAGTGGTGTAAGCAATATTAAAACAATGACTGATGTTTAAGTACTCACCGGAAGTTTTTGTTTTTCCATCATCAATACCAATAGCTAATGATTCCATCATATCAGCTTTTCTTCTATGAAATTCAGATGGAGGCATTCTTCCCCTATTTACTTCTATCTCCATATTTCGTAGTTGTTGTTGTTTGTATCCTCCAGAATTATCTAAACCATATTGTCTCTATTGAACATAAAAATAAATGACTTCTTACATCCCTGTAACTCTATGAGGATGGAAACTTATTATAATTTTATTTGGAAACATGTTGAAACATTCTAGTTTATAGACTTTATACAAGGTAACTTAAAGATTTTTACAAAAACTAATAACATACACACAAAAACAGTATTGACTTAATAAGCAACCACTTCTTTATAATCAATCTCAGGGGCAAGAGATTTGCTTTTCCTGAAGTAGGGAAAGCAGAGGATCCTGTCTTTCTCTTTTTTTTTTTTTTTTTTTTTTTTGAGGCGGAGTCTCGCTCTGTCGCCCGGGCTGGAGTGCAGTGGCGCGATCTCGGCTCACTGCAAGCTCCGCCTCCCGGGTTTACGCCATTCTCCTGCCTCAGCCTCCCGAGTAGCTGGGACCACAGGCACCCACCACCTCGCCCGGCTAGTTTTTTGTATTTTTTAGTAGAGACGGGGTTTCACCATGTTCGCCAGGATGGTCTCGATCTCCTGACCTCGTGGATCCTGTCTTTCTACCTCAGGTATTGGGAGAGGCAGAAGAGTTCTGAATGCATTACGGATTTTTTCAAGGAAACTTGTCAGTCCTTGTTATTTGGTTCCCAATCTAGTCCACAAAGGCCTACTTAATCCATAATTCATTTAGTCAGTCATGTTACACAATAAATGAACTATGTTTTGTACACTGGACTGAGAATCTCAAATAGTATGTATAAAACCATGGAAAAGTTTTCAGATACCTAAACGACTAACTTGCAAAGTTACATAATCTCCTTAAATATTGGAAACTTTTTGTATTGATCATGTTTTAAATTACATAAGGCATAAAGGTCTTAAGAAAAGCCAATTTTCTTTCCTATTTTGCAAGTATTATGAGTCACCAGTGAGAAAAAAAAATCCTACATTAGGTCTTCCAAAGCACATTCTAAGCAACAATACCCATGTGAGATGTTTGAGAAAAAAAAGAGAGGTCAAATACGTCCGGAAAAATTGTGATATGTACATGCACATTAGTATATTAAAGGTTTTGAGAAGTCCCAAAGTATACAAACCTGTTTAACTGAACACTTTCAAACCTATTCAATTGTAAACCCTTTTTATTTATGCACTATCCTATCATCGCTAAAAACAGAACATTTAAAAACTATGAGCAATAGGCCAGGTACGGTGGCTCAGGCCTGTAATCTCAGCACTTTGGGAGGTGCGGTGGATCACCTGAGGTCAGGAGTTCAAGATCAGCTTGGCCAACATGATGAAATCCCGTCTCTACTAATAATACAAAAAAATGAGCCGGGCATGGTGGTGCACACCTATAATCCCAGCTACTTGGGAGGCTGAGGCAGGAGAATCACTTGAACCTAGAAGGCGCAGGTTGCAGTGAGCTGAGACTGCACCATTGCATTCCAGTCTGGGTGACAAGAGCGAAACTCCGTCTCAAAAAAACAAACAAACAAACAACAACAAAATCTATGAGCATTATTAGCACAGATAACACTACAGTCTACAAATTAGGATTGAAAAAAGGAAAACAGACATTAAAATTTTAAATGCATTAAAAATATAGCAGATGCTGCCAGTTTAGTCCAACAGGTAAAATCACCCACCTAAGATAAATGAAGCCTCAAATATCATAAAAAAAGCATTTTCCCATAAAATAGTTCTTTCTAAATGCCTCAAATTGCGATCTGTAAAATAATTTAAGACTCAGGAGACATTAATTCTAGGTATAAATTTCACTTCCAAGTATCTATACAAACACTTAAATTCTGAGTCTTGGTTTCCTAATTTGTCCCATCAGCTTACACAGGTTTGAGTACAAGCTTTATCACTAATTAGCTGCCTGACACTGAGCAAGTTACTTAACCATTCTGTCTCCATTTCTTCATCTGAAAAAAAAAGGTGGGGTGGAGGAGCCTAAAATAACCATGAATTTGTTGTAAAGATTTTGAGATATTATATGTGAAGTGATTACTCCTGTGCCCGACTAGAATGAATATTTATAAATGGTGGCTGTTACAAACATGTTCAAATTTTTTTTTGAATAATAACAAGGACAAAAATAATATACTGGAGTCCTGAAAGCATATTTGAAAAATAACTTTACCAAATCAAAATATTATAATTCTTATTAATCTTTGTACCTGCAGCTTCTGAAATTCTTCTATTTCTTGTCTTGATTCTTCAGATCTCCTCTTTCTGTCTTCTTCTTGCTGAAGCTGGTGAGCCAATTGTAGATCACCAGAACACTGGACTCTATCCATGCCTGTTAGGTATTTTTAATGTTCAGAATAAAATAACTGTTATAATCAAAGATTATTTATTATTTAATACATGTTTTTAAAATAGAGTAAATGCTATTATTTGCCATTTATTCATGACTGTGATGATTTGGAACTGAGTACAAATCTAGCAAAACTTAGAACTGCTTCAGTAAGGAATAACCTCCAACTAAATGACAACTAATAGTGACTGTTTTTTTTTTTTTGAGACGGAGTGTTGCTCTGACTGCCCAGGCTGGAGTACAATGGTGCGATCTCAGCTCACTGCAACCTCTGCCTGCCGGGTTCAAGTGATTCCCCTGCTTCAGCCTCCCGAGTAGCTGGGATTACAGGTGCCTTACACCATGCCCCGCTAATTTTTGTATTTGTAGTAGAGACGGGTTTCACCATGTTGGTCAGGCTGGTGTCAAACTCCTGACCTCAGGTGATCCACCAGCCTCGGCCTCCCAAAGTGCTGAGATTACAGACATGAGTTACTATGTCCAGCCTCACTGAGTGTTTAAGCTGTGACAAGCACTTTTCATTAATTATATCATTTGATCTTTATAACAATCTTATGAAGTAGATATTATTGTTTACTGAGGAAACCGGAATTTTAAAAGGTTAAGTAACATCCTTCATTGATACTCCTTAACATAACTAAGGCAGATTGATTTTTCCAAGAAATACTAGGGGAGAAAAAGAAAATAATAAAGAGCATAAAAATACACATTTACAAAGTACAGGTGTTAGATAATAATTTAATTACTGTTTGGCCCCTGAAAATGGTAAAACTTTGCAACAGTCACCCTGCATCTTCTCTACTCAGTGTCCCCCAGATCCATTTGTCAGTGGCTTCTGGCCACTATCTTGTCTCCTTAACCCCTCGACCTGATGTTTTAATTATATCACTGAATATTCTTCCTTTCCCTTCAAAGTTCTCAGCTGCTGCTACATCTTCCTATTTGGTCACCCTTCCATTCTTGGAGATATACAAGTCACATTCAATGTTTAGTGTCCCCTGAGGCTATCTACAGTGATTTACTTAGACCATATCTTTTTCTTATTACCCACTATACGTTTACAGTGTAATATATGTGCTCATACAAAGCCTATCATAAATAAGAGTAAGAATTAGCAGGCACTCAGAAACCACCAGAGCAGAGGACTTTTCCATCTTTGCTCCAATAATCTCAACTTTGGGTTAGGGTGAGTGAGCAGTAACACTGTCCATGAACACTGATACTGGTACTAAGATCATTGACGCTGGACACTAAAGACCTCTGTCTTAATAGAAGCTATCTACGTACCTTAAAAAACTGCAATAGGGTAAAATACAATTGGTTTCTCTTGGGATCTACTTTTTATTTTCGTTCAGTGGGCTTCTAAAATTCATATAGAATTTTTCCACTTCTAAGACACCATAATAATTACTTAAACAAAGCCACTATTAAAAAACGTAGGGGAGAAAGGAAAACTTTTATAGAATCACAATAAAACCAATAAGTCATTTAGAAGCCTGCTCAAGCAGCTCAAGATGCATTGAAAGATGTTTTGGTTATATAGTTCACATTCATTTGTCAAATTTTAGGTGCCATATGGCAGTTTTCTAGTTCAACAATTTTTGCTGACCAAATACAATATGCAGTTACTTCTAGCTGCTAAAGAAATGGCCTCAACTTGTAAATAAAACACTTTTAAAGGAAAAGATGTATTTTTAAATATTTTTTTCCATGTCACAAATCTAAAAATTAGATATGTGTCCTGGAAAGTAGAAATTAAATGATATTTTTATCTTTAAACATATAAACATACCTTGGCAAAAGCTGTTTTCTTCCAAATGCAAGTCAACATGTTCCTGAAGAATATGGTAATTGGTACATATAAGCCCACACATAGGACAATCATAGAGTGGCTGATCACAGTCTGTATTAGAGACATAATTAAGTTGTTTTTATTTTTTAATTTCAATTCTTTTTTTTTTTTTAAGACAGGGTCTTGCTCTGTTGCCCAGGTTGAAGTGCAGTGGCACCATCATGGCTCACTCCAGCAATCCTCCCATCTCAGCCTCCCAATTAGATGGGGCTAAAGGCATGCGCCACCACGCCCAGCTAATTTTTTTTTTTTTTTTTTTTTAGAGCTGGGGTCTCACTATGCTGTTCAGGCTGGTCTCAAACTCCTGGATTCAAGTGATCCTCCTGCCTCAGCTTCCCAAAGTGCTGGGATTACAGGCATGAGCCACCATGCCTAACCAAGTTGGTTTTATTTTTTTAACTTTTAGGTATTTCACCCCATGTCAAAGACTGTCTACCACTTATTAACCTTATATAAGTAAAAGCTCTTTGTAGTGGATTTAAAAGCTATTTTTCTAGTTCTAGGGTCAAGATAGAAGGCTGAGCATAGCAAAACCTCTCACACCACTCCAAAAAAAGGAAATATTAATAATAAATATTCAGATCTGTAGTCAAAACAAGAGAAGCAGAAAGGAAAACCAAAGCGGTAAGTAGGGCCCAGTCTAGATATGGGTTTTTAGGGCTAAATTCTCAGCACCCACCAGAGTGCTAAGGTGCTGAACTTAAACATTCAGCATAAAGCTGGGAATTAGGGTAATACTGTCTACACAGGAGCAGGAGATTAAAGAGCTACATCCATCACATAGCACTGCAGGCAGACAGGTCTAGCTTGCCAAAAACAGAAGTGGTCCATCTATAAGACCAAGACCTAGCAGATAGGGGACATAGAAGAGGGACCCAGAATTGTGTGTATACGCAGAGTGAAAGCATGGATCAATCCGTATATGTAAGGCCTGGTCTGAAAGCAGAGACTGTGAACAGCCAGGGTGAAGGAACCATGAAACTGCTTCACAGGGAAGGGATCATATAAAACTCCCAGAACAGATGAACACTAAAATTTGAATTGATAAACTCATTGGGGGCTGCAATGCCAAGAAAAATAGCCCAGAAATCTATAAACTGAAAAAGTTACCTGTGAAGAAATGGAGCTACAGTCATCCTTATCAACAGTAAAATAAGTATGTCCGAAATGCTCACTGAAATAAAGGAGGGAACTGAATCTTTGAAACCAGGACAGAAAGTTACTAAGCAAAAATAGATGAAAAAAATGAAAATATTAAGATATAATCATTGGAATAAAAAATTCAATGGCAAAGCTCAAGAGAAAATGAAGTATTAATAAGCACTCAAAAAATATTTCCAAAATCTGCACTAAGAAATAATGGTTTACAGCTTCCATAAGTAATGCTGGGGGATATAAGAGAAGTCTTTCAGCCAGTTCTCTACCATAATATGACTTAGAGTCAGAGCCAATGTCAAGGAGGCCTTTGCTTATCTCTTTGATCATCACACTACTGCAAGCCAAACCCTCCATCCCTTCTAGTTTTAAGTGATAACCAACCTTCCTCAACATTAGACCACACTACACCTCATATCCCTGTATACCTTTTTTACCACCAGAATCTAAACTATGCCTCAGAGGTTAGCCATCATCGTCCGGTGGAGTCATCTAGGGTTGACATAACCACCAACACTGTTCTGTCTATGAATCCAATCTAATTGTTCAGTGGCAGTGTCTTAACAATCTTTAAATATCTGAAGGACATCCACTGATCTGACCCAAGCTATTACCCCTCCTATTCTCCCAATACCTACCCAATGCCTTCCAGAAATATCATCTATCATCAGTCAGCTTCTCTATACATACAATCTTTCTCTGAATATTCACTTCACCTTCTTAACTAAAATCTGGTTGGTTCATGACATCCCATTTTCTCTACAGCCCCCTAACACAGAGGCAACTTTTCTTGCACAATTCAGGGCCCTAGAACTAGAAGAGGCATCCCCTTTGCTCCCTTTCATCATTGTCAAACCTGTTTTAGGCCCCATTTTTGTAATAATTCATGTCACCATAATATGGCATCGCCTACCTTTCTTAGTGCCTAATATTTTCTGAAGTCTTAGACACTCCTTTCACTTACTAGCAACAATTTTAACACCTGGATCAAAATCTTCTTTTCCTAGCCCCTATACTATGATCATTCTTAGCAACTTCAATATCCATAGGGATAGTTCTATGCCTTTATTTCCAATAATCTTTTCCTTTACCCTAATTTACCCACGGAATGACAAAAATTATACCCATAATTTGTTATCACTAATAAATGAACCACCTCTGAAATCTCAATTTCAAATATCACTCCCGACCACCTATCCTTCCATCTCACTTCTTTTAATTCTACCACTCTAAAAACTGTTTGACCTAACTAAAACCTCCTATATAGAATATACAAACCCTATTTTTTTGTCATTCATTACCACCCTCATGTTTTTCTTTACTTTCTAGTCCAGATTCCATGCATCTTCTCTATATGATAATCATTCCCTAAAAACCACCTGCAAATTCACCTGTTCCATTTACTATAACTGAACATTGGTTAAACCTAGCTATTTTCCTATTTAACTTCTGTACTTCTAATGACAACAGGTCTTTTTTAAACTCAACTAAACATTCAGACTCATAAGACTACCATAATTCACCAGTTTACTGGTCCTGAGAAACTTGCAGGAAACATTGTGTCAGCAAAGGATTTTCAGGCATTTTTAATCAATACACTTATTTTTTTCCTTGCAGCAGTCCATAAGTTTTCATTATTAGCAGATAATAAAATGATCTACTTAGAATATTCAAGGGAATTAATGTAGAATTATTAAAATTAGTAACAGGCCAGATGCAGTGGCTCACATCTGTAATCCTAACACTTTGGAAGGCTGAGGAAGGAAGACTGCTTGAGCACAGGAGTTCAAGACCAGCCTGAGTAACATAGCAGGACCTCATTTCCACTAAAAAAAAAATTATCTGGGCGTGGTGGTGCAGGCCTGTAGTCCCAGCTCCCTGGGAGGCTGAGGCAGGAGAACCACTTGAGCCCAGGAGGTCAAGGCTGCAGTAAGCCATGATCATGCCACTTAACTCCAGCCGGGGTGACATAATGAGACCTTGTCTCAAAAAATATAAAATAAAATAAAATTAGTAATAGTTGAATAAGACTAGATACCTCAACTATCTATAAAAATTGACAGTGTTTCTATAAAACTGCAAAAGTTTCTTAGATGAGAGGGAAAAAATCTAATTTACAAAAGCAACAGAAACTATAAACTATACAGAAATAAAGCTAACACAAATGTACAATGAAAAATCAACACAAAGTCGGGCGTGGTGGCTTATGCCTGTAATCCCAGCACTTTGGGAGGCCGAGGTAGGTGGATTGTCGGAGGTCAGGAGTTCCAGACCAGCCTGGCCAACATGGCGAAACCCTGTCTACTAAAAATACAAAAATTAACTGGGCATGGTGGTGGGTGCCAGTAGTCCCAGCTACTCGGAAGGCAGAGACAGGAGAATTGCCTGAACCCAGGAGGCAGAGGTTGCAGTGAGCAGAGATCGTGCCATTGCACTCCAGCCTGGGTGACAGGGCGAAACTCCATCTCAAAAAAAAAAAAACAAAAAAACACAAAATTGTATTAAAGGATACAAAAGATGACCTGAATTAACGGGGAGATGTACTTTGATCTAATTTAAAACAAAATTACAACAGTTTTCATGAAACTTGACAATATGGCTATAAAACTCAAAAGAATGAGAAAGTCTAAGTTGATAATGAAAATGAAGAACAAGGGAAAAACTGTCCTATCTGATGTTGATGACATTTTACAAAATAGTTATTAAAATGGTGGTGTAATAAGGAAACAAAAGTCCCATACATAAATAAAGCAGAAGTAAGAGACCAGAAACTGGCCCACACAGATATGAAAATGTAATAAAAGACAGAAACTATATTATAAATCAGAGATAAATCTGGTTTCTGTACAGAGAAAACCTAAAAATTAGATCCCAAGTTCACGAAATACACACATGTACACACACACACACACACACACACACAATCCAGAAAAAATTTTAAAAAGTGAAAATATAAAACATTAAAGTTTTTAGAATATATGAGAATACCTTTTTGAACTCAGAGTAAAGAATACTTTTTTAGACAATACATAGAAAACAAAAACAAAATTCAAATACTGCACAAAATTCAAGGATAAGCAACATCTTATAGAATACAGCTGTAGGATTAGTATTGAGAATATATTTTAAAAGCAACTGAAAAAAACTCAAAAAATATTTGACAATATCCAGGTGAAAAATCCATGTAACTCAAGTGTACAAAAAATGTAACATGCAGTTCATAATAGAGGAAATTAAAACAACTACATACAAGATATTTCATAATCAGAGAAATGCACTAAAAAAGAATGTAGACACTGACTCCATACCTTTTACAAAAATTAATTCAAATAATTCACAGATCTAAATGTAAAATGCAAAACTATCCAACTTCTAGAAGTTGGCAAAGAGTTTTTAGACACAACACCAAAAGCATGATCCATGAAAGAAGAAATTGTCAAGTTGCACTTTGTTAAAATTAAAAACTTCTACTCCATGAAAGACACTGTTAAAAGAATGAAAAAACAAGCCACAGACTAGGAGAAAATATTTGCAAAATACACATCCAAAAAAGAACTTGTATCCAAAATACAGAACAATTTTTTTTTTTTTTTTTTTTTTTTTTTGAGACAGGGTCTTACTCAGTCACCCAGAGTGGAGTGCAGTGGTGTGATCACGGCTCACTGCACCCTCCACTTCCCAGGCTCAGGTGATGCTCCTATTTCAGACTCCCAAATAGCTGGGGCTACAGATGCAAGCCACTAGGCCTGGCTAGTGTTTTGTTTTTGTTTTTGTTTTTTTGAAGAGACGAGCTTTTGCCACGTTGCCCAGGATGGTCTCCAACTCCTGAGCTCAAGGGATCTGACCACCTTGGCCTCCCAACTTGCTGGGAATACAGGCAACAGCCATGACACCTGGCCCGACAAATTCTTAAAGTCCAACAATGAGAAAAAGACCTAAGATCCTACATGTGTACACACCAACAACAGAGCCTCAAAATACATGAAACAAAACCTGACAGAGCTGGAAGTAAAAATAGATACATTTACAATTATAATCAGGGATTTCACAACCCCTTCTCAAAAACTGATAGAACTACTAGACAGTTCTACTATAGAAAAACGAGCAAGGATATAAATAATCTGAACACAAACAACAGGATCTAGTGACATACATACAACATTCCACCCAACAAAGCAGAATACACTTTTTTTTCCCAAGTACCCATGGAACATGACCAAGACGGATCATGTCTTGAGCCATAAAACAGGCCTCAACAAATTTAAAAGAACTGATATCACAGACAGTTTGTTCTCCAATCATAACAGAATAATGGAGTCAAACTAGAACTCAATGCAAAGTCAGAGAGTCCAGGACAGTCCAGATGCTACTGGGTTAGTGACAATAAAAAGAATACCCTCCGGAAACTAGACAGAAAGTTCCAAAACTACTCTCAATGTAGCTGAAACATTTTATATCTGCATCAAAATTCTTTTCCATAATGTACTTTTATATTTCAATAATGGCAAATGAAAAATGCTATAGACATAAAATGGATTTCAAAACACATCTGTGGTAAGCTGACTTACAAACCAACTTTTAGACCACCACATATTAAATTGAGGCTGTAAACTTATAATAATTTACATTGAAATGAAAACTTTACCTTCCAATGGAATGTCTAAAAGATTGGCATGCGTTGTTTTCACATGAGTTTCCATATCTTCACTATGCTCCTCTATTTTTCCACAGAATGGACATTCGGGAGGACCATACGTTGTTTCATAAATAGATCCTTTTACTTCGGTTAGGCCAGACTGTTTTTCCCTACTTTTCAGGAATTTTCTAGATTCAGTTAAGTTCTCTGAATAAAAGGTTTCATGTTTTAAAGTACTATCTTTAGTCAGGCATTGAGATGAATTTTTTGGATGATTAGATGCACAACCTGAAAGAATACTTGAATTAACTTCCATTCCACACTGTAGGGTGTTGTCTTTCTTGTTATCTGAAGTTCCAAATTGTACAGTATTTATCCTCTCAAAGTTTCTTTCAAGTGTATTCTGCTCAAAATGAGCTGTTTCAATATGAAAACACATTTCATCGTAACTCACACCTGACAACTTGCAAAACGGACATACAATTTCATTTTCCATGTGAACAATTAGGTGAGCTTTCATGTCTGGTTCTGAGGTTACTGTTTCACCACAAATATCACAGGAAAGCATGGTATGACAAGTAGCTAGAAAAGAACATAACATTATTTTAAATTTCAAAGTAAGATTTGAAGGAAAAATGTGTTTCATAAAATGATTTGAGACAATTATTTGGTCTTTAACGCTGGATTATTTTGATGAAGAAGTTTTCAATGTACTTACTGTTCCTCAAATACAAAAACTTATTTATAAATATCAACCAAAATTTCAAGTTTATGTTTTCAAAAAAAAAGGCAATAATGAAAACAAGTGATTTTTAAAATAAAATATTTCAAAAAAATGTCTCTGGCCCAAGGCAGAGAAAAAATAACGTTTAAAAAAATTGTCCAGGTAAGATAAATCAGGTAAGAAAAAATGAAGAAAAGAAACCTATTTATCAACTGATATATCTAAATACTGAACACTGAAGCTGATTATATTGAGGAGGGTAAATAAACACATCTTAATAGCAGAGTTTAACACTTAAACAGCCTTAAATGTGTCACACTAATTTAAGTGCTATTATTATCGTTCTACACAAAGAAATTCTGGCTCAGATAGGTCACCACAAGCAGAAAAAGGTGGAAGCCAAAATGCCAACCCCGTCATGCTCCGCAGCCTGTATCCTCAGCCCCAAGAATAAAAGCAGAAGTGGTATAGTAGAAAAAAGCACTTATTCCAGAGTCAAGAGAACTGGGTAATAATTTCAGATTCGTCATTTTGGGCAAGGTATCTCATCTCTCTGAGGTTGTCAAAGACTACTGTAAAATCCAAAGGTAGTTACTTTTGGATTTTATGGACAAATAAAGTGCTGACTACTGACATAAAAGTGTTTAAAGACTATTTAAAATCAAACAGGAAAAGTAATGGCACTATTCCCTTCATTTAAACAAATTTACCTTTAAAATACCTCCCTACATTGTCCTTATTTTTCTCATTTCTCTCCAGACAAATGGATATAGTCTCTGATTTTAGAAGGCAGTTCTCCCGGGCCCCCAGTGGGATTAAAGTCACACCCGGAGTTTATTCTCTTCCGGTGGCTGGGACACGGTCAGACACAGAATGATGCACTTGGGCATGGACTCAGATGAAGCGGGTAAGAGACAAGAGGGTACCCAGGCGCCTCAGAGGAAGCGAGTGAGAGACAAGAAGGTACCCAGTGCCAGGCTAGGCACTTGGTGGGTGAAGTCAGAATGCCGCAAGGCCGAGTCTCCCAAACGTTCCGCGCCAAAGGCACAAGCCAGGGACGCGAAACTAGCAGGCACTAAGTGGGTCAAGGCTTTGGGCCTGGGGAATGAGGGAGGGGACCATCAATTCTTACCGGCCCAGAGGCCGGCAGCTGCCACACTGCGCGTCGCTAGGCTTCCCCTTCGGGCCTCGCTGGCAGAGGAGTGCGTGCGCGGCGTCCAATACCTCTCCCGGCCTGATGACTGAGGCCAGGCCTTTCCAACACGCAGAGTTTCACAGTTAACGAGGAAAGAATTAGGAACTTCCAACACCTCGGTCCGCAGTGCCTCATTCAAAAAGCACTTCCTGACGCCCACGGAAAAGAAAGAATCCCAGCATGCGCCGCTCGACGCCGGTCTGTGTGCAGTGCATTCTGGGAGATGTAGTCATTTTTGCATTCCTCCCATTTCCGAGTTTTTCCTTCTTCCATCGGGTTTCCTGCTCCTGATTTGCTAGGAGAGAAAACTGGGCTCTGAGGTCATTCAGACTTAATCTGAATAAGTTCATAGGGCAGGTCCTGGGGCAAATAGTAGTCTACAAACTCCCTGTAGGGCCTGCTGCGTAGCACTCTATTTTAGTATCAATGAAGGGCTTATAATGCTGCTAGGTATCAAGCTCCCAGCTACGCACTGAAGGTGGAGGATACCAAGTTCTTTCCTCAAGGTTACAAGATAACAAATATCTTGGTATGCATGCGTGTATGTATGTATGTATGTATGTATGTATTTTTAGAGGGGAGGACTCTTTCTGTCACCCAGGCCAGAGCACAGTGGCTATAATAGCTCACCGCAGCCTTGAACTCCTGGCCTTAAATGATCCTCCCACCTTGGCCTCCCAAAGTGTGAGCCACCATGTTAGCCCAAAATCACAAATATCATGTCATTCAGCCTTTATTTCATTCAACAAATATTTAAAGAGTGTCTATTAGGCATTTTGCTTGGAACAGGAGCTGCAGCAGTAATCAAAACACACAAAATTCAGGACTTTGGAGGCTTACATGCTGGTGAAGTAGAGGAAATAAAAAGTTAATTAACTGATCATGATAAGTGCTATGAAGAAAATAAAACTGGATTGACCAGGCGCGGTGGCTCACGCCTGTAATCCCAGCACTTTGAGAGGCCAAGGCAGGCAGATCACTTAAGGTCAGGAGTTCAAGACCAGCTTGGCCAACATGGTGAAACCCCGTCTCTACTAGAAATACAAAAATTAGCTGGACGTGGTGGCAGGTGCCTGTAATCCCAGCTACTCGGGAGCTGAGGCAGCAGAATCGCTTGAACCCGGGAGGCATAGGTTGCAGCAAGCTGAGATCGTGCCACTGCACTCCAGCCTGAGCAATAGAGCGATAGATTTTTGAGACTGAGTCTCAAAAAAAAAAAAAAAAAAAGGAAAAAAGAAAAAAAAACTGGATTATAGAGATACTAAGATTTAAAAAGGTCTCACTGAAGAGTTGAGTGTGCTGATGAACAAACCTTGCACCAACAGGGGAAAGAGCATTTCAGACACATAAAATAACAAAAACGAAGGCCTAAGGCTGGAGCAAAAAGAACACTTTTTGACCAGAGCATAATGTGGTAAGGGGGAATATGATTACAAGATGAGGTTAGAGTTGTAGACAGGGGCCAAATCATGTAGGACCTGGTAGAAAGCTAGTGAGGTATTTAAACAGGAGGGTGATGTTATCTGATGATAAACAGTATATTTTTAAAAATTGGCTAGGCGCGGTGGCTCACGCCTGTAATCCCAACACCTTGGGAGGCAGAGGCGGGCAGATTACATGAGCCCAGGAATTCCAGACCAGCCTGGGCAACATGGAGAAACCCATCTCGACAAAAAAAAAAATACAAAAATTAGCTGGGCGTGGTTATGCGGCCTGTAATTCTAGCTACTCGGGAGACTGAGGTGGGAGGATCACCGGAGCCCCAGGAGGTTGAGGCTGCAGTTAGCCATAATGGCACCATCGCACTCCAGTCTGGGCAACCGAAGGAGAACCTGTTTCAAAAAAAAAAAAAAAATCATTCTGGAAATTTGTGGACAAACATGGAAGATCAAATACGTACATTTTTATTTCTCTGCCTCTCAAAAACTACTAAAATGATAGGAGGAAAATAAAAAATAATACTACTAACAGCTAATGAGATTTTACAAAACTTTGAAAGCTAAAAAAAGATAAATGATTAATAACGAACTTAACTCAGAACAGATGTCAACAAAAAACAAGTCAAGCCATACTGTCTTGACTTGTACGGGTTTCTGCTTGCCCAGCACAGCACAGCCAAACACTGACACTGGGAAAGCAGCAAGAGAGAGTGAGAGTTGAGGCATTTATTGTAGGGCACCAAGCAAGGAGAATTGAGTAGCTCATGCTTAAGACCTGAACTCCCACATTGCTTACAGGTAAGAGTTTTTAAAGGTGAGGAGGCAGAGGTTATAGGCGACATCGTAAATCACTACATGGAAGCTATATGTTGGTTTGATTTTAAAAGGCTGGACATCTTGAAGTGGTGGGGGCACAGGTCACAGGTGGATTCAAAGATTTTCTGATGTTTGATTTGCTAAGGAGGCAAAGCTTTGTCTAAAAATTTGGGATCAGCAGAAAAGAATATTAGCTCTGGCTCAGGGGTGTGATCTCCTCCAGGCCCCTTGGGAAGAAATTTAGAACAAAGAACAGACGTCAGGATTTAGTCTTCAGTTTCCCCTTATCTGTAGACAGGGGCCAAATCATGTTGGACAGTAGATCTGTTTGGAGGGGCATCTGGGTTTCTGGAAAACAACTCAAGGTCATATGTTAATATCTTAAGTTTCTCTAAGGAATAAAACATCTCCTGACTTTTTTTTTGGGCTACTGTTTTAAGCTACTGTTACCTTTTTGTTTATTTAATTGCTTATTTATTTCTCAGCACTAGCTAGGTTCCTGGAATTTTCCTTGAAGGAACTCAATATTTTCCTTTATTTCTATGCTTGGGGGTTGCCCACAGGCCCCTAAGTAGGGTCCCTACTTCATCCTAATACACTCCTCCTTCCCAGAAATCTGAAAATTTCAGAAATTAAAGACAAGATACTTCTAAAAATGATGGTGACATTTGGAACTAAATAAAGGATCATTTTGCCGAAAGTCTGAATAAGGAACGGTTAGAACTCCAACTCTAGATTTTCTCCATCACCAATGTGATGGTTAATTTTAGGTATCAACTTGACTGAATTGAGGGATGCCTAGATGGCTGGTGAAGCATTGTTTCTAGCTGTATCTGTGTGAGGGTGTTTCCAGAGGAGATTGACCTGTGAGTCAGTGGACTGAGAGAGGAAGACCTACTCTTAGTGCGGCAGGCACCATGCAGTCAGCTGAGGGCTAGGCTGGGGCAAACAGGAAAGAAAGGGAATCCTCTCTCTTTGCGCTCTTCCTTCTGGAACAAGACACCTTTTTCCCTCCTGCTTTTGGACATCAGATTGTACCATATTCAGCTTTTAGACACTGGGATTTGCACCAGTGGCTTCCCAGGAACTCTTGGGCTTTTAGCCTCAGACTGGGGGCTACACGCTCTGCTTCCGTGGTTCTGAGGCTACTGGGACTGAGCCACATTACCAGCTTCTCTGGTGCTCTAGCTTGCAAGATGGCCTATTGTGGGACTTCCACCTCTGTGATCATGTGTCAATTCCCTAATAAATTGCCTCTCGTATATAGTATTAGTTATGTGTCTCTGAAGAACTGTAATACAGCTAGGTTGCCATGAGACTCCTCTTTCCTTTCCAGACAGAAGACTACAGATTTAGTTCATGAAGAAAACAAACCAAAAAAACAGCTATGAACCCTTTCCTAGGGGGTTCAAAGGCTTAACCTTATCCTTAGGGTAAAGGCACTGGACTGAAAATGGGAAATAGCGAAGGCTAAATGCTAAATTATGAACCTCTTGCTCCTTTTCCTCCATCACATCGTGATATGTGATTTCTGCCTCCAAGGCAGGAGGTTGGAAAATTCCTCCCCAGAGAAATCAGTTGTCCCAAGAGAAAAACCTACAGATGTCAACTTTAAGGAAGTTATCCAATGACAACAGCCAGGTCCCCATTTTACCACTCTGTGGAAAGGCTGCCAATTGGTGAATAAACAAGCCCTGCTGATGCACAGTGTATAGAAGGTTTCTTTAATGTCTTATTCTTAAATATGAATAGATACTCAAGTGTTCCAAGCATTTGAGTACAGCCTATGGCAAGTAAGATGGAAAACTAAACAATAATCATAAATTAAAAAGTAAGCTCTGAAGAAACAGACAAAGAAAGAAAGAAAAATATTTCAATGGAAACCACAATTAATACTCTCAGATAGATAAGAAAATGTATTGAATCTCTAAATCCAATATAGGAAATAGGTGTTGGGATTAAAAATATTGCATACTTTAAAATACATATATTAATAGAAGCCTGGAAGATAAAGCCGAAGAAATTTCTCAGAAAAGAGAACAAAAAGAACAAGGGATAGAAAAACAGGAAAGAAAAATAATCAAATGAGAAATTGGATTCCACATCCAACTAATAAGAAATACAGAGAGGAATAACAACAAAAAACAATGGAAAATTTGTTATCAATTAAATGACATGATAATTCATGACTCAATAATAATTTCTCCTGAAACATTATTTCTTATTATTCCCCAGGAAGTTCCCACCAAAATGACGGAAGAAGCAAAGAAAGTGGAAGGTATGGGGCCGGGCATGGTGGCTCACACCTGTAATCCTAGTACTTTGGGAGGCTGAGGCAGGCAGATTGCTTGAGCTCAGGAGTTTGAGACCAACCTGGGCAATATGGTGAAACCCCATCACTACCAAAAATACAAAAAATTATCCAGACGTGGTGATGTGTGCCTGTGGTCCTAGTTACTCAGGAGGCTGAGGTTGGAGGATCATTTGAGCCCAGAAGGCAGAGATTGCAGTGATCCAGGATTGCGCCACTGCACTCCAGCCTGGGTGACAGATTGAGACTCCATTTCAAAAAACAAAGTGGAACATATGGAATTCCATAAAAAAAACTCTACCTAGATGAGAGAGAACAGACAGGAATGAAGGCAGAAAGGAAGAAAAAGAAAGGGAGGGAGGGAGGGAAGAAGCAACTGACAGATCACTTCATGTTTATGACCATACTGAGAGAAATATATTCTGTTAAGCAGAATAATGTCCCTCAAAGGTATTTCTGTCCTGGCCAGGCATGGTGGCTCACATGTGTAATCCCAGCACTTTGAAAGGCCAACGTGGGAGGATTGTTTAAGGCTAGGAGTTGGTGACTAGCCTGGCCAACATAGTGAGACCCCCATCTCTAACATTAAAAATTTTTTTTAAAAGATTGTATTTCCTTATTAACAGAACC